TTGTCTTTAAGCCCTCAGGATGGCCTGCTCCATTTAACTTAATGAGCGAGCTTATGTTACCATCATTCCCCACAACGTATGGAACCAGCTTGAGTTGCAATCGTAGTGTGTTTGCTTTCTGTTTTTTTTTTAAACATTTGATATTGGCACTTTTATGCTAAAGCTTAAGAATTTTGTACTCTGACTATTCTATGGAGGTAAGGTGCAACACTGACATTTCCCCACTGTGGGACAAATAAAGGATCTCTTCATCTTAACTTTTTAATAAGTTTCATATTCCCTCTAACCGGTGCCGATCAGTATTCTATGATTTTTCTCTCTGTTCAACTTACATAACAGGATTTTATAATTGCTAGAATTACAAGGTTTTCTTTGTTGGCATAAAAAATACTAAATGTTCAAATTGCCCTCAGAAAACTGTGGCAGTGGCCTTCTTACACTCAAAGACAAGTTATGGTCAGTTCAAAGTATGTGAGCAGTATAGAAAATAGAAAAAGAAATAAAAATTTTTGAAAGTATTCCAATTTTACTATTCGTTCGATGAGTTAGTTTCATCGAACGAAACATTACGACATGCATGTATGAGCTTTCATTCATACAGTTAAAGATGTGGTTTTAGTGGTTTATAAAAAACACGTTTAGAACAATGTTATGGTCTGATTTATGCTATTGAAGTAAATCCAAAACCAAATTGAGAAGATGTACCTTTGTGTCAATACCGTGGCTGCTTCTCTTGTTTATGTCCTGTGACCTCACACACCAGCTGACCAATCACAGCGCAAGGTCACATTGTATTCAGTCCATAAGGTAATGTATTATTTATGACATACCAACACAGACATATAGTGAATAAATCATTTGGACCAGAAGGACGTTTTTTTCTATAGTGAGAATTTGACACTCAGAGACGCTTCACATGTCTTTATGCTTTCACTCCACACTACTGGGGCCACAGCTGCCCTGGGCCACACTGACACAAGCCAGGCAACCAGTATGTGCCTTACCCCTCCTACCCACACAGTGTGTAGGTGAATGGTCCCGACGTCACAGTGCTGACGTCGGGACCTGGCTATTGCATGCAAGCAGTCCCCATATGGTCAGCAAAGTCAAAAGTAGGAAACACACAGTCCCAACAATTGCAAAAAAAAAGTGTATTTCACTAAACAGATGTTATGTAGATTACCCAAAGACTTCAGCCAAGACACATTACTCACGGTAATGTGATGTGTAGTCAAACATTGTCAAGAGCAGAAAACAAATGGTCAATTTATTTTTGCATTGGATCCTATTCCTGATTAAGTTATACAAGTACAAAAAAGTTGGTGGTTTGTTCCTCAGCCTAGACTTTCACCACCAACTACAGCTGCTGCATGTAACGTATGTACTGTAGGACTGTAATGGGCCAATGGAGAGAGTTTAAGCCCATTCTGTTCCTGGACCTGCAGATCTGAAGTGACGAGGGTTGGTGGGGGTCAGAGCTGATGAAGAGCTTTGGCTTAGTTGTAATTCCCAATGGAAGAATATTATCTCATTGTAAAGCAGCAGTTAATCCAGTTTGAGGGGAAATGGTTGCGCCGTGGCCCGTGATCATACTCACACATCAACATGAACACGCCGCTATTTGTGACCAGGACGTGAGCTATATTTGGTGATTGGATATTGAGACCTGAAAGAGGATTCCCAGCAAAACCCAACTGATGAGAGAGAATTTGGAAATGGCAAAGACAAAAATCTGTTCTATAATGAATGATTCTTTTGATATTCGATTAGTTGGACTTTTGATTTATTGATTATTAGTTAGTTGATTTAGATTCCAAAAGGTCAGTGACTATGGGATCTTTTGTACTAGTAGTGATGCCCCTGGAGAACCTCTTCATATAGAGATGACTTGTTACACTTTGGGTTGTATTTTTTTTTTTTATTCTGCCGTCATTATGGACAGGAGGGTCAGGTGCTAGTCAAAGTCACCTCCATCATGGACAACACCTCCCACTGCACAGGACTGAGGAGGAGCTCTCTCAGTGGAAGACTGATACACCCTCTCAGCGCTACCGCAGGGCCTTTATCCCCACTGCTGTCAGACTGTACAATAAGTCACTTTAAGTCACTTGCACTAGGACTAAAAAAAACTTTGCCACTTTTGCCACTGCTTCTTTAATTTATTGTACATAATATATCCTGAAAAGACTATATTTTTTGCCTTTAACATGTTGCACACTTCTTTCTTTTGCACACATCTTGAGTGATTCTATCTGTGCCAAATGTAAACTTCTCCTGTGTGAGATCAATAAAGTCTTATCTTAAGTATGTGAGTCATAAAACCTCCTCTCAGCTTTTTTAAGTTTATGAAAGATGCAAAGACGATAATTGATTGCTAAATTAGTTGATTTAGTTGATTACTTTGCCTGAAGCCCCCACTGAAAGATCAAGGCTCCTGTGGACTCAGCACCTGCAGGAGGATCAGTGAGGGTCTGGTGCTCTGTGGACTGGGTGGCAGCTCTGGCCACCTCCCCGACCTAGAAATGGATTAAGGGGTAGAAAATGGATGGATGGATGAACTATCAATTGATTGACCAGGGACTACAGATGGAAATTAGCATCTTTGCTATAACCTGGTACATGGCATCTCTCCATGTGTTAATGTTTAACTGTACACTGTCCCTGTTCAAATAAAGTACATTGGTCTAAATATTCTCTTGTATTTGATCCGCTCTTTTTAAGTTTGCATTCAGTTTTTAACAGTGCCTGTGAAGCACTTCGAGCAGCTGGTGTTGTAAATGTGCTATACCAATAAAGCTGACATTGAAATTGACAAAATATAAAATTTATCAACCCAAAAAAAGCTAAATTGATTTTTTTTTTTTAATGGTTTATTTAAAGTTTTTTTTTTTGCACACCTCCAGTTTTGGGTCATTACAGAAATTTAGGCCAACCTAGGATACAGGCCAAACAATGTCCGATCCAACAACTTTCCTTCTTCTTTCATTGTTTTAAAACACATACAGATTGAGATGGCAATTACAAAATAGTCTAAAGAGTAAACTAATGTATTTTAACCACAGCTGGCGTCCTCCACACGCTCCATGTTGGTCCATGTGTGTGCGTCAGACCGGTACATGTGATGTGGTCCGATGATCTGCTACAGGCTCCTGACAAAGGCCTGTATGTGCACGTGCTCTGGAGCAGGCTCTGGATCCCACACTGCTGTCATCTTCAAACACAGAGGGCCCCAGACACATACCAGCACTGTCTCCTATGGCCGCAATCATGTAGCAGTTTATGTGAGGAAGACGCTGGTGTTGGGTCAATTTAACCATATGGCTTATTTTGGAAAGTGGACATTCGGAGTTTGTTGCTAGGTTAGTGTTTGTGAATTGTTTTTATTGCAGTGAAGTCGTTTTTAAAGTGAATTATGAATGTTTGAGTGTTTGGGAAATCAAAGAAATTAAATCTCCTGGGGCCAAGACCCTCGCGGTGGTAGCTAAGGAGAAGGGTCGAAGAGATGGTCTGGTTGATGAGACGGTGAAAGGGAGGAGGAGGGTTGTTGCACGATATGAAAGCTAAATGATGATGCAGGATGTAGTTTAAATGGGAGGTTCTTGGTGCTCCTACATCTTAGAATATCCAAACAAGATACAATTCCATTGGGAAACCCAATGGAATTTAATCTGGATTTGAACATTGTCAGAGTAGTCTCAGATTTTCAGGGAGACCGTTCCAGATTTTTGCTGCATTATTTGGAAATGCAGCCTCCCCATGTTTGATTCTGACTCTAGGCACCAGCAGGAGTCCCGTCCCTGTGCTCCTCAGAGTTCGAGTTGGCCACAGGAGCCAGCGCAGAGACCCGAGAACTGCGTTTAATGTGGACAGAATTGTGATGTGGAATATGGAGACATTGTATTTTTTTCCTTTCATCGATAACAAAAATATTAGTTTTGGCTTTACATAGAAAATGATTCATAGGGCGCAAGATTAGTTGTTCACTGGGCCATTGTACACATTTCCTGAAAAAGTTCAAGAGTTCAAGTCCAAAAAACCTTTTTGAGTTGGGTTGTTCACAGACAACCAAACAAACAAACAAACGCTGGTGATCACTTTACCTCCTGGCCAAGAGCTTCAGTTCCATTGCTTTACTCCCAAAAAACTAATAATTTCTTCCTTGTCCCATTTTAAAGCTTTACTGATAATTTCACACCACCACTTTTTGATCTTTTTAACAAGCCCTGGTAGATCTACCCCCTGGTGGAGATAACTAGAGAGACAATAATATAATCTTATAAGTCAGCACCTGCAGTTGTCGCCATGGAAACATAAACAGGCTGATTGCGGTTTCAGGTGACATTGAGCATCAGCCTCCTGTTGCGCTGCTGCGTTTTTGAGAAGAAGAAGAATCTCTATTGTCACAGTGAACGACAACATCCAAGTCTCTCCAGGGCCTCGCACCAAAGTACATCTGTGACATGTTAGTGCCATAATGAACCAAGGAGGACTCTGAGGAGCACAGGGACTGGCCTCCTGCTGGTCCCAGAGTCAAGACTACACATGGGGACGCTGAATTTCAGATCTACGCAGCTAAAATCTGTAGAAGTCTTCAAAAATGTGAGACGGGCTTCTTCGCTGACAACGTTCAAATCCAGGTTGGCCTCGTAGCAGCCTCCGTTACAAATATGTACCCAAGAACCCAAACATTGCCAAATTTGGTCATTGAATGCTGCTTTCCAAAAATAGCATGGATCATTTTTCTCAACAAATATTTTTATGTCTGGGTTCTGGTTTTTGATGTACCGTGATTTATGATTTGAATTCCTTGTTTTGTGAAGCACTTTGAGTTGCCTTGTGTATGAACTGTGCTGTACAAACTTACCTTGTCTATTGTTAAAGTCTTATCATGACTAAGCAGACCCACAGCCTACAGCTGTGTGTCTGCTCTGATCCTGTGGGGGAAAAAACAAAACAAATCTAACTCAATTGAAAATGTTCTGCTTTGTTTTTCTCCGCAGGCTCGGATCTCGTGCGTGAGGGTCAAATACCTGTTCCTGACTTGGCTGACGGTGCTGGTGGGGAGCTGGGTCATCTACGTCCAGTACTCCAACTACACCGAGCTTTGCCGGGGACACCAGTGCAAGAGCGCCATTGTGAGTCCTGGATCTGCTGGGTCTGCTGTTTCCCCCTGAGTCCTCCACAGTCTTTATTCAGTCTGCATTGATTTAGCTCTCGGCCGACTCGCTTCCTGCTCCCCCTGATCTGGAGATATGTAAACAATCTCTCGTGTGATTCTGTTTAACCATGTTACAACATTGTTTCATATTGTTATTGACCGGAGAGTGAGGCCGGAGAGTGAGGCCGGAGAGTGAGGCCGGAGAGTGAGGCCGGAGAGTGAGGCCGGAGAGTGAGGCCGGAGAGTGAGGCCGGAGAGTGAGGCCGGAGAGTGAGGCCGGAGAGTGAGGCCGGAGAGTGAGGCCGGAGAGTGAGGCCGGAGAGTGAGGCCGGAGAGTGAGGCCGGAGAGTGAGGCCGGAGAGTGAGGCCGGAGAGTGAGGCCGGAGAGTGAGGCCGGAGAGTGAGGCCGGCCGAGGTGAGGCCGGCCGGAGAGTGAGGCCGGCCGGAGAGTGAGGCCGGCCGGAGAGTGAGGCCGGGGAGTGAGGCCGGGGAGTGAGGCCGGAGAGTGATACCCGGGGAGTGATACCCGGGGAGCGATACCCGGGGAGCGATACCCGGGGGGCGAGGCAACAAACAAAACAAGATAGAAACAATACAATCAGAAATAATCAGAGTACATTGAAAAAAGAGTGAAGATGACAGATAGAAAATGATCAGAGAAGAAGCCTGTCTCACATTTTCAGGAAGACAGTTCCAGATTTTAGCTGCATAAATCTGAAAGGCTGCCTCCCCATTTCACTGGCAAAAAAATCAAATATTAGGAGGTAATTGCTTGAATGGAGTGGTTTTTATGTTAATTTGAGCACATTATGACTGTCTTAAAACAAGATTTTCCAATGGGACAAAGCCATTTAGTCTTAATTCAAGAAATAAGACTCAATCCAAAGAAGACATTTCTTTTATCTTTTCAAAGTAAGATCATTTTCTTTTGTCCCTTTAGAAAATCTGGTTACAATGTGCTCAAATTTAAGATACATTTTTCTAAATTTGAGCTATTTCTGACTTATTTTTCATCACCTTTTGCATCTGGTTCTCTGTTCTATGGTTTGTCAGCTTTCAACTTTTTGGTTTGACTGGAAATTCAAGTATTCAGATTTTTTTTTTACACATCCAGGAGTTGGACCGTATGGTTTTGTAATTAATGTCAAATTGTCTGTTTGTAACATTTTGACTTAAATCCTGATTGGAGCAAAAATGACCAACCCAAGGGTGAAAAATAGACTGACTATAAATCAAGGCTTAGATAAAATACTCCATGTAATCCCCTTTTGGCTGCCTTCCATTTAATTACAGCCACACACTGCTGTTCCACTCACACACTTCGCAAACACAAGTGCCCTTCCAGACTCCTGCTAATGCTGAAGCGTATGTTATCAGTTAAAAATACGAGCATGAAGATAGATGTCGAAAAGCAGCCTACAACAATGTCGTTTTTGTCTTAAAATATGTTGGATGTCACAAGACACAAGGAATGTAAAATGGCAAGATGGTCCACATTCACACTGTGCTTTGGTTCGTGCTAAATTGTGGTTCGTTGGTGCAGTTTTTATCTGTGGTAAAACAAGGGGAATATTTTATAAAATTAGCTTGAAAATATAATTCTTCTCAGTTTACTATGTGTCAACCTTTCACTGAGAGCATTGTTTGAGCCACAACAGATTTCACTCAGATCAGACAAAAAGTAGTAGATAAAATATTCTGAAAATGATAAGATTGTTTCTCACAGAAAATACAGTTCTGATCAATAGAGTCTGGATTTGTAAAGAACCTCCAGAACAGGCAGCTCACAGTCCTCTGTCAGAGCGGAGCGTCTCTCTCTGGTCTCTCTCTATGGTCTCTCTTTGGACTCTCTCGGGTCTCTCTCTTTGGTCTCTCTCCCTGGTCTCTCTCTCTCTCTGATCTCTCTGGTTGGTCTCTCTGGTTGGTCTCTGGTCTCTCTCTCTGGTCTCTCTCTCTGGTCTCTCTCTGGTCTCTCTCTCTGGTCTCTCTCTATGGTCTCTCTTTGGACTCTCTCGGGTCTCTCTCTCGGGTCTCTCTCTCGGGTCTCTCTCTTTGGTCTCTCTCTCTGGTCTCTCTCTCTCTCTGATCTCTCTGGTTGGTCTCTGGTCTCTCTCTCTGGTCTCTCTCTCTGGTCTCTCTCTTTGGTCTCTCTCTCTGATCTCTGGTTGGTCTCTCTGGTTGGTCTCTGGTCTCTCTCTGGTCTCTCTGGTTGGTCTCTCTCTGGTCTCTCTCTGGTCTCTCTGGTTGGTCTCTCTGGTTGGTCTCTGGTCTCTCTCTCTGGTCTCTCTCTCTGGTCTCTCTCTGGTCTCTCTGGTTGGTCTCTCTCTGGTCTCTCTCTGGTCTCTCTGGTTGGTCTCTCTGGTTGGTCTCTGGTCTCTCTCTCTGGTCTCTCTCTCTGGTCTCTCTCTCTGGTCTCTCTGGTCTCTCTGGTTGGTCTCTCTGGTCGGTCTCTGGTCGGTCTCTGGTCTCTCTCTCTGGTTTGTCTGGTCTCTCTCTGGTCTTTCTGATCTCACAGTGGTCTTAACTTTGTTGTGTTTTCCTGATTTTTAGTGTGACAAGTACAAAAGAGGAATCATCGACGGCTCGGCCTGTGTGGGTCTGTGCGACAAAGAAACCCTGTACATGGGCCGCTGTCTCTCCACTTCACCAAACAACCAGGTGACTCCCTCCCTCTGATCACTAAAACATAGGATATTTTACACCAATCATTTCAAAGATTAGGCGACCCTGTATTTGTCACAGAATGGGGGAATGAATGAACTCATAGCATTTAAATTATCTCAGATGAAGTTCATCTGAAACCAAAATTCCTTTTCACTTTTATGAAAATGTTTTTTAACACAAAACTCGTATATATATATGTGGCGGAAGTAGCAGGCGGACTTTGATGCTAACGGAGTAAGCTAGTGGGTTTTTGTGTTAAGTTCGTCTCCAATACTGCAACTCTGCTGCGTGTCTGTGTTCAGAGACCTTCCACAGACTTTATATAACAGCAGTATGTGTTCACGGAAGTTTATTTTATTATTAAACGGTACTTCCGCGTCAGCGAACACACTCGAAGCAGTTGCATAAAGTCACGGGAGTATGAAAACGCACATGTTAACAAGCACTATGTCCCCCATTGTGAACCCTGGTTTAGTCCTGGTATAGCTCCTGTTTTGGCTGTTTACGAGTATTTTCAGTCTGCTTGCTCAGACCACTAATGTCCCCGTGACCTGTTTGCGGCTCTCTGATTGGTTGCTGCACGAACGTCACGAGGAAAGGTTGAGCAAAATTCATCTCCTGCGTTCCTCACCTTCGACTTTCCCGCGCGGTCCGTGCGTGCATTCCGAGACGCACGTCACCATTGACTTTGCATTGAAAGCCGACACAATGCATGATCCGGTCTGAACGCGGCATTAGACCTTCCTGCATCGGCAAGGAAAAAAATTACAGCTTATTTTGTCATATCTCATCTTGACATAGTATATTAATATACTTAACGTGTGTATATGTAAATGACACCAATATACTCGGGCTGAACTGAAAAGTAGTGGTGTTACTGTTGTGTGGGCGCAGGTGTACACTGGGAGCTGGGGGGACCATGACGGGGTGATCCGCTGTAAACTGGGGGAGGTGGCCCACTACGAGCTGGGGGAGGAGCCTGAGCCACGGAGGGAGCTGCCCCTGTTCCACACGCCCACACGGGGGACCTCCGTGGAGAAGTTCCGGGAGATGGTCTTCAATCATCTCAAGGTACGAACCCTCACAAAGACCCCGCTGTGCTTTTTAAAGGATACGTATGTTTCTTCCCCCACCACATCTTTCTAAACGCACTTTTTGTTGTTGTTTCTGCAAACATGTTGCTTAAAATGATATGTTATTATAATTGTGTGCATTGCAACTGCTATTCTGTAATTAGATTAGATTAGGGCAGGTATAGGATATTTCCAACAGATAAATATTGTTGCATATATGTGAGACTGTACCAGCTGCTATTGATAGTATACATTGATTATATTACATTACTTTAAAGTGTAATGTAATATAATCAATGTATATACTGATTACAAACATCAGTCTATAATCTGTATACACCATATCCTGGATTTTCAAACTGACTGTAATCTCCAGACTGGTGCTTGTGAGACTATCTGTGTCTGGTTCTAGTCTAAACTGGGAGAGCAGGCGAACCTGGCGAGTCTGGTCAGCCACATCCTCTCTGTGGCGGACGGGAACCGGGACGGCCGTGTGTCTCTGCCCGAGGCTCGCTCCATGTGGGCACTGCTGCAGATGGACGAGGTATGGACGAGGTATCCTTAATTAGATTAGATTCTTTAGAGTCAGAGAGGCCGGAGTCAGAGAGGCCGGAGTCAGAGAGGCCGGAGTCAGAGAGGCCGGAGTCAGAGAGGCCGGAGTCAGAGAGGCCGGAGTCAGAGAGGCCGGAGTCAGAGAGGCCGGAGTCAGAGAGGCCGGAGTCAGAGAGGCCGGAGTCAGAGAGGCCGGAGTCAGAGAGGCCGGAGTCAGAGAGGCCGGAGTCAGAGAGGCCGGAGTCAGAGAGGCCGGAGTCAGAGAGGCCGGAGTCAGAGAGGCCGGAGTCAGAGAGGCCGGAGTCAGAGGTAGAGGCCAAGGTTTTCTTCTAACTTTAAATAAAGGTAACTGTCATGTTATACGCGATTATATGATGGTGTTGTGCTGCATGAGAAGCACACTGTAAAAAAACAAATATTAATCATAAAAATCTGTGAAAGTAGCACTGTGTCGTAGCGAGGGACCACTGTACGTCTCTGCTGTGAGACAGAAATGTAAAGAGTGTGCTCTGTGCTCAGGTGCTGCTGGGTCTGCTGCTGCAGGAGCGTGGCCACAGCCCCCGCCTGCTCGGCTTCTGCGGCGACCTGTACATGACGGAACGCGTGCACTACGGGCCCCTGTACGGCCTGGCGCTGCCCTGGCCCCTCGCCGCCTGGCTCCCCGCCGGCCTGCAGCGCACCATGGACCAGTGGTTCACGCCGTCCTGGCCTCGCAAAGCCAAGATCTCCATGGGCCTCCTGGAGCTGGTGGAGGACATCTTCCACGGCACGTACGGCAGCTTCCTCATCTGCGACGTGAAGGCCGCCATGTTCGGCTACACGGACCGCTACGAGCTGCGCATCCTGGACAACCGGGCGCTGGTGTCGGAGGAGCAGTTTGCGCGGAGCATAAAGGAGTTAAAATGCAACGTGGACGCTGACTGCACGTACGGGGCGGACTGCTTCTCCTCCTGCGACGTGGCGGAGCACAGGTGCAGAGAGGAGCCGCTGAAACCGAACCTGGCCAAAGCCTGCGGCGTGCTGAAGGACTACCTCCTGCGGGGGGCGCCGTCAGGGCTCAGGGAGGAGCTGGAGAGGCAGCTGTACGCCTGCATGGCTCTGAGGGGCAGCGCGCAGATGAACATGGAGCATTCGCTGATCCTCAACAACCTGAAGGCTCTGCTCTGGAGGCAGATCTCACACACGAAAGACTCATGATCAAATCCACTCACACTTAGAGGGTTCCTTTTAATAAGTCAAATATGTAAAGAAGCCAGTCCTGCCTAATTACCTGACGTGTTTTGGCAGTACTGGCTTCTTTACATTCTTGTCTTAACCTTCAAAACCTTAAACACAATAAGACAGAAGACTTTTTACACTTTGTCTCACTCTTACATGTGTTGTGTCTGTGCTCGAAGCTGAATGAAGTGAAATACATTCCATAAATTGTCATTGATTTTTGGAACACTGCAAAAAGTGGTGAAAAATAAGTCAAATAGTAAATCGCTCAAATTTGGCACAAAAAAAAGTATCTTAATTTGAACACATTCTGACTGCGCTAAAACAAGATTTTCCAATGGGACAAAGCAAAATGATCTTGTGTTAAAAAAAATACAAAAAATGTCTTCCTTGGAATGAGAAAGACCGTCAGAATGTGTCAAAGTAGGATAAAAAACACTTGAGTTAGGCAATTATTACCTCATAATTTATATATTTTTTGCTGTGAAGGAAACAAAAACATAAAAAACATTCTACATGAGCAAACAGGACATGCAGAGTTACCACTTTCTTGTTTACAGAGTTTTCAGTGAGGAGACGCTTCGACCCCCACACAGAAGTTACTTTAGAATCTGAAGAGAATAGAGATAGTCTTAAAATATAACTTAAAGCTGTTGTGAGCCGTGGTCCGTCGTAGAAAAGAGGATTTGGCTCAGAAAAGAAAACCCTCTATTTTTGGTGCTTCAACCCAGACTTGGTAAAACTGTACCCTGGCCTTATCCATCCGTACACTCCGGTCAATCATCATTTCCTGCATGTAACGTCTGGGTCTGGTCCCTGTGTTTGCGATTACAATCGGTTGAATTCCATCCGACCAATCAGCGAGTGCGGGAGGCGGGTGTTGTAGTTAGATGTGGGTGACGTCAAGAGTTTGTGTCGAACGGGCAGGTTGTAGTCTGGCGAAGAATGTTATAGTAAAGTAATCCGGTCTGGTTCTATCAAGAAACTGAAGCCAGAGCAGGAAGAATGTTTAGCAAATGTAACGGGCTCCGTTAGCGGCAAAGGAGATGGCTAGGCTAAATGCTAAATGCTAACAACAGACTCGGGCACGTTACATACATCACGGTAAACTCAGATCCAATCGTTTCAATCTGCAAAAGAAGTTAACCCCTCCCACCTGTAAACTGAGATCAATGGAGCAAATCCAGACCTTAGTACGAAATGTAATTTGTACTATGGTGCGGTACGACCAGGCTAGAACCTTTTTATACAATAGGAAGGTATTATGAGCAATTTATGATTTCATTTATAATCTGTTTGGTTATTCTATTTTGATTTTGCTTGGATCGAACCAAAACTGGACCAAATAGCACATATGGTTTCGCACCTTCATTGGTTTATTGAGTCTCATTCATTTCAATGGGCAAACAAACCACGGCCAATTGGATGGACAGCATAAGTTAAACCACTGGGATTGGTCCGATTCTGGCCCACAGTTAGCCCAGGTCTGGGGTTCCAAGGCCGAGAAAGAAGTCTGGAGCAGGACCACGGCTCCCAACAGCTAAAAAACCCATCTCTTCTGAGTTTGACTGAATCTCTACTTCCCATGAACGACATATATCACGCGTTTTGTAACTTTATTGTGTGGACATGAAACCAGCCTGTACTTACACCTCCACTCCCCTCCGTCACTGCAGCACAGTCGACGTGTCTTTGGGCAAGTCACTTCACCCACTTTGCCTTTGTGCGCACATATGTTTGAACATACATGACACGTGGAGAAAGTTCTGTGTGATGTCAGAAAAAGGGGTTTTGACATGTTCTGGACACACCATGTGATTTTTTTATTTCTCTCAAAGGAATGTCTATAGTTGAAATACTAACTACTCTTTTTTTTGAGCAAATTCTACTTTTTCAACTTCAAAAACTCTTAATAATGAAGCTCCTCTCGCTTGGTTTAAGACAAACTTTATCTCCAATAGAAGATTCTAATCAAATCCACTAAAACATGCTTGTATTTGAAGAAGTTCCAACTATATTATTTATATATACAGTATATAACGAGTGTGAGGTGAGACTTCTCCCTCAGTTTATTTGAAAGAAAGTTTTACTGAAGTTTAAAAACGTTTCTCTTTTACATTTTTTTATTTTGCAGTTTGAAAAGGATTCACATTATGTATAAATTGACTCAATACGAAGGAAATGTATCTTGTAGCCCTGGACAGCACTCCACCTGAGGACATTTCAGTGTTTGTCTTTTTTAAGCTTAAAATTCTAATTGTGAATGAGTGAAAATGAAGTGTATTAGCTCCTGTCGTGGCTAAAGTAACAATCTACATCTGGTGTTTCCCAACCAGGGGTTCAGGGGGGGAGCAAGAAATGATTCCCAAGTCATATAAACTTGCACACATTGACAGAAAGATGTTTACACAAGCTTCCATGGCGTGTTTTACATCATGTTAAAGCTAATTCTCTTCAGAACTGCATAAGATGTTTTTATTTGTTACAAACACTGAACACATGATATAGTTGGTATTATTTTTGGTCCAAAAAGTTGAATAGAAGCAATAATTTGGTTTGAAACCCCTTATATAAATTAATCAAGAAAGGAAAATTGGATTCAAAAGAAAATGGCTGGGCTTTGTAGAACAGTCTGAAAATAATTGTCGACTTCAATCAATTTGAAGTGAATGAGTGAGACGACTGAGCAATATTTTTTGTATGATTTATTATCCTTTACATGGGGTATCTGAGCCGTTTATCCTGGTGAGGGGGTATGCCGGGCTAAAAAGGTTGGGGGACTTCTGATCTACATTGCCCTGGTGTTTTTTTTTTGTCTTTGTAAATCTAGATATGGGCCATTAACAACTGACCAATCAGGTGGTGCCTTCTCATACCAAACTCTAGCAAGAACAAACTTGCTCTTGATTGGCTCATTGGTTGCTAGATGGTTGCTACCCATAAATTTGACTTCAGATTGACACCCATTTTTCACCCATTGTTTGAGCGATTTGGCAATTCACACAACGGGTCAGTCCACTCCTACAATCTGTGAGCGCCTGCCAGAGAAAGAGCTCGAGGTAGAGACGCTGCTCTTCCACGTCAAGGCGAGCCCAGCATATGCTTCCATAAATCTTATAAGCCATAATTATGACCCACAACAAAAAGTGTCCTCAGGTGAAGGTTAAATCGTTGCGTCCGTTACTTTCAGTGAAGTCCTTAAAGGTTAATGGGAGGATTTTGTACTTCCGTGTGGATCATCAAGACTATTGGTCCTCCCAGTTGTCAATCATTCGGGTGATAAGACCAGAGAGTTTTGGTCAAAAAGTGGAGAGGGCGGTTCTTTCCTAAATTTTGTGAAATTCCTCTTGTATACCTTTTTAATATTGAATTTATCTCTAAAACTCTGAAGGAAAGTGAGGTTTGAAACACTAATCTATATTTGCTAACAGAAATGTGGCTAACACTTTAGCTTTGCCCTAGCATTAGCTCCAATATTAGCGAAAGTGTCAGGTTAGATGTTGAATAAGGCCATGCAGCATAAGAACTAATAAAGTGCTTAATAAATGCCAATTAAGAGCTAGCTAACTATAAACTATACATTTTTATTTTATTAGCTGTTTATAAGTTAGGGCTAAGCTAAAGTGGCTAACATATGTAGATGTATTGCAAATTGGAATGAGGGGATAGCCAGCCTCATGGTACTCACTGATTCTAGCTAACATTGAAATATATAATAAATTACACGTCTCTGTATTTAAAAGATTGCACAAGATCAGTTTGATGACTTACCTCAAAAAACAAGTGAATTGTTCCTCAATATTTTCAAATGCTGATAGTCTTTACAACACCTCGGTCTTATAAGAGTTTAGTTTGGATTAGAGTGGATTGCATTTACTCCCCATGTGAAGCGTCTTTGAGTGTCCAAGAAAGCGCTATATAAGTTTGATGTATTATTATTATTATTATTTTAGAATGTCATGTTTGTCGTTGGAGCAGTGCCATAGAAACTTGAATGTCTCACGATTGTGCACATGTGAATGCTGTTTTCTCACTGTGCTGGAGATCAGTGTGGAGCTGCTGTTATGAAAACGTTTACGTACTGAAAAGACCAGCATGAATTTGCACAATAAAAATTCATATCATTTCAATCTCTGCTTGGTTTGTGATTTCTTAAATTCTCCTAAATGTTGGGATTGACTGATATAAAGGTTATGATAGAGGCCAAAATATATCCATTGTAAACAGATCTAGAGATAGAACCCGTATAATAGTTTTATTACTTTCATTTTCTGTGGTTTGAAGGACATTTACCTGTGATACAATTTCTCTAGTATTAAATGTATGGATGAACATTTATAATTCTGCAAGACTAGACGACTAGAAAGCAAAACTATAGTGGTAGGTGAGCAGTTTAATTCCGTCTGATAAACTTATGAAAGAAACTCAACTATAGAAAAGTGTTTTACGAAGGCAGAAAAGATTTGTCAGTGTTACAGGTGTTGTATACTAAATGTGGCTACAACCAAAGAAATCCAGATAATTTCAGAACGAGATTAATGAGAAAACAAAGTTGCCTTATTTAAGCATGTTCCCGTTCTAGTTCTGATTTAAACTAAAATCATTAATTATTTAAAAATAGTTCATCATATGGAGTCAGAACCGCTGCCAGGTTTGTTAATGACCCAACTTTGAACAAAAATTAACTTAAGTATAGGTGTGGGCCCAGAATGTATAGGCAGCTCTTGGTGGATGTCTGCACTCTGCGAGTGGCTTCAGTTATTTTTGCCCTTCTACTCAGCAAAGGTCAATGTGTACTCGTGCAAAGTTTCGATTTAATGTGTAAAGTAGTAATAATTAAACTATTTGAGACTAACTTAATCAAGTGCAACATAATATCCTGCCTATTTGAATTATGGACTAACATACAGTTTATGTGAATTGTATAAAAATCGACTCTGTTCATATTTAATAATGCGGTGACAGTTGAAAGATGAGGCTCAGACAGAAAAGCTGCATTAAAAATCTGTTTATTATGTGAGGAGGAGGAGGAGGTCTGCGGGGCTCGGAGTCTAACCGTCCCCTGCCTCCTGCTCCTGCGCCCGTAAGAAGCTGGCTTTCTTCTGGGCCACGCGGTTCTTCCTCTGGGCCAACGACAGCTTGGCTTTGTTCCACCTGCGGAAACGGACACAAGAGAGCTCCATTAGCATGCAGCTCAGAGAGAGGACTCCCAGCACTTCCCACACCACTTCAAACAGTTACAAAGCCAAAAAAAATGAAGTAATCAAGTGTTGGAAATGCCAAGTCTGCATATTTTGTTTCAGTCTTCATAATGCAGAGAGGCAACGCCAAATCAGAACAAAACAATAGAATAGTTGTATGTTTGTTGATGTTTTTGTGGGATTGGGACCAAAACGCTGCAGCTCGAGCCCGGACTAAAAACCAGGAAGTACGATCACATTAGTCCAGTACTCAGGTCTCTGCGCTCTATTGGAGGAGACTTAATTGTCATTGGACCCAGTTTCTCGTTGGCTTCTCTCAGTCCCGTCTTGAAAACAACAGTAGCATCAGCCGCTGCAAACGAAGGACCAACTCCATTTTGCTCAGTGTGTTTCAATCATCATCGAGAAGCCAAAGATCACGTCCGGAAAGTTCTTTCCCATTCACCCTCCTCGCCCTTTAGCGGTGCATACAACTGATTTTAATAGATTTTAAGGCCAATACTTTTAAGCTGTCTCGTTTTTCACATGGAATTATTGTATTTTGATCTGTGTTTTTAAATTGCTCTTGTGAAGCACTTTGAATCACCTTGTAATGTGCAATCCAATTTTTTCATTGATTATTGACCCTTGTCCTGTAGTGCAAGTCTTTCTTGTGTTTATGTCCATGTTCAGCTCACCGTTTGGGTTTGACGCCGACTTCTTGTTTGTTTGGCTTCTTCACGTGGACCGGGTTTGCTCGTATCGCTGCGTGCGCTTTTTGGTACATTTCTTCGACCTGACGACAGAAACAGTGGAACTTAAATCTACTGGAAAATATTATAACTTGTGTTGAATACAGCTAAATTGGGCGGCACGGTGGCTGAGTGGATCGCACTCTCAGCAAGAAGGTCCTGGGTTCGAATCCCGGTTGGACCAGGGCCTTTCTGAGTGGAGTTTGCATGTTCTCCCCGTGTCTGCGTAGGTTTCCTCCGGGTGCTCCGGTTTCCCCTACCACTAAAAATATGTACAATAGGTCTGGCATGCGCCTCCTGTACTGGCACCCCCACCCAACAATTGTAAACCGCTTTGAGACTCCGATGTGCAGTGAAAAGGCGGTATATAAATAAAAGCTTACTTACTTACTACTTACTAAATGTGTCAAAAGACAAAAAAAGATTATTGACAAAAATGAGTTTGACGTCCCCAGAGTTAAGATTGTTCCATGACAGATCCTGGCTCCCTCTCCCCCACTCGGCCTCTCCCCCACTCGGCCTCTCCCCCACTCGGCCTCTCCCCCACTCGGCCTCTCCCCCACTCGGCCTCTCCCCCACTCGGCCTCTCCCCCACTCGGCCTCTCCCCCACGCTCGGCCTCTCCCCCACTCGGCCCTCTCCCCCACTCGGCCTCTCCCCCACATCGGCCTCTCCCCCCTCGGCCTCTCCCCCTCTGGCCTCTCCCCCTCTGGCCTCTCCCCCTCTGGCCTCTCCCCCTCTGGCCTCTCCCCCTCTGGCCTCTCCCCCTCTGGCCTCTCCCCTCTGGCCTCTCTCCTTCTCTAGTACCGCAGCTTAAGCCAGTGTGTGCGTGTCCCTCACCGTCTCGGGGGTCACTCCGTTCTTGATGAAGCGGGAGAACTGTCTCTTGTAGGCCTCCTCGTCCTCCTCCAGCAGGTAGGACATGTAGTCTGCCACGTTCATGCCCAGGATGTGTTTACGGTGCACCTCGGCGTTGAACTCTTTGCTCTCCACGTCGTAACCGGGGAAACGCTTCATACTGAAAACACAGGAGGCAAACGTCATCAATAACGACCCCCCATAAGCTTTATATTGTGTTTTCCGGACTATAAGCAGCTACTTTATTCTAGCTCTTTGAAACCGATGGCTTATATAGCAATGAGGCTAATGTGTGATTACTCAGTTAACAGCCTAAAAACATGGCCATCTTAATAATAGATCCCGTTAGATCTGAGCAATTCTAAAATTTCTCACCGAGAGACAAATAAGGAGCGTGATGTATTACGCAGCCTTGATGTTTATTCATTGAACCTGAATTTCTCCATTGTGAGCTCAATAAAGTATAACTCATCTCTCAAAGCTTTATCTTTGTTGATTCTCTCAGTCCCGTCTTGAAAACAACAATAACATCAGCCGAAGCTCAGTGTGCTTTCAATCATCATAGAGAAACATCACCCCCTCACCGCCACCTCCCCCCTCCACCCTTGTGAGCACTGACCTGTGTGGGATGGCCAGGCCTCCGTCCACTGCCCCCTTCAGAGCCCCGAACACCTTGTTGCCGGTCGTGGTGCGGGCCAGTCCTGCGTCCAGGTAACAGGTGAAGGCCCCCGGCTGACCGTCCACACTCTCCACGTTAAACTCGTCGCCCGTCACCTCCACCTGGCCCTCGTACACCTGGTCCATGCCGAACTTGTGCAGGAGCTGAGGACAGAGACGAGACAGAGATATGGATTTGAAACAAAAATGCAGTCACTAACCAGTTGTGTTGCAGAGGTTTAAGTGTATAAAACATCTTGTTCGCCAATTCATCTAGTCAAGTTTGTAGTTAGTTTTTAATGACTTTTCCATGACCTTGAACCAATTTTCCATGACCAAAAATAAGGTTGAGATGCAGTTTGTTTGGAAAAGTGCCTAAAACTAAGTGATAGATGCCCCAATGAGGTAGATTTCAGGTCCAAGCTTCAAGTAGAAATAGCGACTCAAAAAGTGATCCACCAAACCAGTAAAGGCTTAAACATCCTGGGTTGCTTCTGCACGAATGGTGCTCCATAAATAAGTTTCCACAGCTTTGCCTAAATTCTGATAAATATATGGTTCGAGCTGAAGACTATGGAAGTCTACATAAATTAACTGGTGCCTAACACTGTTCAAGACTTAATCCACCTCTTGTTTTAACCATCACGAAATAAGGAAACTTCAAAATCTCGCGCACTTTTGTCATTGGGCCCAGTTTCTCGTTGGCTTCGCTCAGTCCCGTCTTGAAAACAACAGTAGCATCAGCCGCTGCAAACGAAGGACCAACTCCATTTTGCTCAGTGTGTTTCAATCATCATCGAGAAGCCAACGGTCAACTCCGGAAAGTTCTCTCCCACACACACACGGTCTCACTCACCCTCCTCGCCAGCAGCAGCCCGGTGCAGTAGGCGGCTGCGTAGTTGGTCAGGCCCACGGTTATTCCATACATGGCGAGCTCATGGGAATAGGCCGCACACACGATCTGGTCTCCTTCGATCTTTGCATAGGCGATCTGAGAGAGGAACAAGGCACTTATGTTAGCATTAGCATTATAAATATGTCTCTAGTCTCAGCTCATAATAGTCCATGAGACGTATATTGAGTGATAGACTAATTCAATATTTATAGTACTCTATAAATAAACTGCAAACACACCTGCATTAAAACATTTATGGCACAATTGAGGCCAAGCCATTTGTTCTAAATGGTAATAAACAGGTTATTTTAGATTTCGAGGGAAGCAGTGCATCATGTAATGGTCTAAAATGGAGATTAAACATCACAACATGTGGCTGTGCAGTGTTCGTTATCGCAAATCACCTGCAGTAGTAACGTGTGACCGGATTCCCAGTCATTCCGAACAATAATTAAAACCAGACAAAGGGATGTCTCTAAAGTGCCACAATTTTCAGCCAGAGCATACGACTGGTTATGTTTTGGTTCCAAATTATCTTCTACTGGAATATGTCAACAATCCCAATGTGGTTGCAATTAATGAACCATACTTCCATTTCAAAACCTAAAAACAATTCTACTCATTGGTTCCTTCATCCCTTTAGTCTGTGGCCCTCCATTCTCTGTGTTTCAGACTTGAAACTCTTAGACCCAGTCTTAGACCCAGTCATAGATCCAGTTTATGTGCTATATAAATGTTAATGGTACAAGAGTCTGGAGTGACCATGAGGCGCACAGACCTGGCAGCAGATGTCACGGTTGGAAAACCTCACGATCATTCGATACTTGGGCGTGTTGTACTTGTTCTTGTCTTGCACCACCAGGCGTTTGCGAGCGAAGAAGTCTGTTTTACCCTCTGTAAGATAAATGTGGGTTATTGAATAGTCTTTAGTGGTGAGGCCCGTCACAATAACTATTATATCAACTTATTATTCAAACATGGATACAAGAAAGCAACATATGTTGCCTTAGCTATAGAGGGTTGAATGACTATCTTGAGACTAAATATGTCAATCTACAGTTGATTCTGCCCAGGGACCAATCTGTTGATGCTTGGCTTGGTCAGGACAAGGGTAGCTGGAGGATTTTACCATGCCATACAAATCCATACATGGTCAAATTGGCTACTATTGCCATAATAGCCAATAATAAATCACAAGCTTTAAATGGAGTTTACTCTGGATTAATGTCTTAAAGCAAAAGACCAGTTTAGATTGGCTGGAAGGCACTGGGGCCACATGTAAACCAGACCGGATGTAGCCCCCCGACCCGGACTTTGCCCAGGCCTAGGTTAGAACGACAGAAGTTAAAGAAACATAGCTGTACTCCTTAATAATAAACTACTGCTTGATTTAATGTATGGATTTAATACAGGCCGACAATTGTATAAAAAAAAAAAAAATGAATGAAAATCAAGCATAGTTTTTGTTCTATGACTTTAAAAGGCTATCGGATAAAGCGATCAAGGTAGCATTTGGACATCTCAGCTTAAAAAGACAACACAAACCATTCTAGCAATTCTAATTGTTTTTACCTCTTCGTCTTCTGAATTTCACCTCATATCTCTTGAAGTACGATTTGTTTTTTACCACTTTTACGAAGCCCTGTAAAAACAAAACAAAATATTGAGCATAAACTAAAACAGAAAATATAATAAATTACAAAACATAAATTACAATACATTTACTGGATGGCGTTAAAGATCCAGTGAATGTTCCTGGATTTGTGTGAATTAGCATTAGCATGTTTACGGTGCTTTCATCAGCCTGCCACGCTGGAGGAATGGCGGCGCCGGTACACGGAAAGATCATCCGCTTCCATCCGATAATAAACTCACGCAAAACTCACGTGAAATATGAGCCATCGAACCTCCATAGTGTATTTAAAGTCAATATAGAAGTTTGTACGTACCATTTTTAATGAGATTCTGGGATCGCTTCTCGCTGGATCCCTGCAGCACGACGCGTGACTCTATATTACCGATAGAAGACACGTTGGGGCGCCCTCTTGTGGTCAGAAAGAAAATCACACCTGCATTTGCACAAAGACGACAGCAGAGGGCGATACTGACCAGGTAGGAAATGTGTACTAAAGACAAGTGAGTTAAAGCTGGGGTACCTAAGTTTCATTATATGTTATTAATGATATGTGTCGTTTGTCCTAATAGAAAGTAAATGTAAAAGGTTTTGTAAAGGTCAAATGAGGAGTTGTTTTACAAGTTACACTTGTTATCTGTTCAGTTGTAAGAGCCCTGGGAGTCACTATTTGACCCTTTGAGACATGGTATGAAACTATACCGCACATGTAGTAGATTGATTGATTTTGTTCTGCTGCTACTGGACCCTTGAATTTCTCCTACGGGCGATCAGTAAAGTATCTATATATCTATCTTCTTATCCATCTAAAAGTATTTGATCTGTTTGGATAAGATTAAGATTATGAGACCCTCTATTCGTCGCACAGTGGGGAAATTTCAGAGTTGCATTAGCAGTTACAGAACAGTAGGAATGAGGAGCACACGGCACAAGATAAATGAACAATGACTATACACTAAAATACATTAGGGTGAGCGTGTGGTTGCGAGTGTGGGACGACAGATGAAAGTTATCTCATGTAAATAATTTGAAAAAGTGCGACAGTAGCTCAGTTGGTGGAGCATTGGCCTTTGAGACAGAGGGTCGTGGGTTCGAGCCTGACTTTCACCATCGACTCCCACTGTCTGCTGTCGTTGTGTCCTTGGCAAGACACTTATCTCAAACACCTAATGCCACAGTGGGGCGGCTGTGGCTGTAAAGGGCTAAACTGCTGTTGTGTCCTTAGGCAAGACACTTCACCCACATTGCCTAGATTTAGTCTGGTGTGTGTGTGAATGGTTGGTGGTGCATACTGGTTGCCTCGCTTCTGTCAGTGTGCCCCAGGGCAGCTGTGGCTACAGTAGTAGTTTATCACCACCAAGCATGGAGTGAAAGAAAAATGACACATGTGAAGCGTCTTTGAGTGTCCAAAAAAGTGCTATATAAAACCGATATTATTATTATTAAAAAGAAAATAGAAAGGTACATCTATTTTTTATCTTGCACTTTTTTATTAATAAATAAAGTAAAAATGCAAAGGACTGGATTAGATTCTAGCCCTGGATCCTCGCCCAACAATAATAATGTGAGTCCATGATACAAGTTTTGGACTAAAAGAGGAACTTTCATTAACAGCTGATAAAAACAGTGACTAAGACATGAGCTACTATTCTAGATCGAGCTTCAGCCGTTATGTTGAGATTTCTGGGTTAGTCAAACAGAAGTTAGATTTCCAGTTTAAATGTGGTGAAATCCAAATCACATGTCGATAATCACACAGTCTGCACATTTGTAAGGTCAACACTGAATCATTTTACTTCCAACTCAACTGTTCGTTTTGAAGAAGTTGCTGAGATGGTGAAGGTATAGTTTGGGAAAAGTTTGTGTAATCCTAAACCCAGAGGGACAGGGCCTTCTCTGTGGTCTTAAACCCAGAGCACAGGGCCCTCTCTGTGGTCTTAAACCCAGAGCACAGGGCCTTCTCTGTGGTCTTAAACCCAGAGCACAGGGCCCTCTCTGTGGTCTTAAACCCAGAGCACAGGGCCCTCTCTGTGGTCTTAAACCCGGAGCACAGGGCCCTCTCTGTTGTCTTAAACCCAGAGCACAGGGCCTTCTCTGTGGTCTTAAACCCAGAGCACAGGGCCCTCTCTGTTGTCTTAAACCCAGAGCACAGGGCCTTCTCTGTGGTCTTAAACCCAGAGCACAGGGCCCTCTCTGTGGTCTTAAACCCAGAGCACAGGGCCCTCTCTGTTGTCTTAAACCCAGAGCACAGGGCCCTCTCTGTGGTCTTAAACCCAGAGCACAGGGCCCTCTCTGTGGTCTTAAACCCAGAGCACAGGGCCCTCTCTGTTGTCTTAAACCCAGAGCACAGGGCCCTCTCTGTTGTCTTAAACCCAGAGCACAGGGCCTTCTCTGTGGTCTTAAACCCAGAGCACAGGGCCCTCTCTGTGGTCTTAAACCCAGAGCACAGGGCCTTCTCTGGGTTCTGCCCAATGTCTGGCAGAAAGACAATAGACAATAAAAACATATAAATGCCCTGTTGTTTTTATGTTAGAGTCACTAAAAGCAGTTGTCAGATGTGATAGACACAAACTAGTGACAAACTGAAGTTCCTCTCACACCTCCACCACGCGCTTATCAAGAGGAGTTAATGGACCTTTCAGAACTGGTCTCTCGCCTCCTCCTCCTCCTCCTCCTCCCCCTCCTCCTCCTCCTCCCCCTCCTCCCCCTCCTCCCCCTCCTCCTCCTCCCCCCCTCCCCCCCTCCTCCTCCTCCTCCTCCTCCTCCTCCTCCTCCTCCACCTCCTCCTCCTCCCCCTCCTCCCCCCCCCCCCCCTCCTCCTCCTCCTCCTCCTCCTCCTCCTCCCCCTCCTCCTCCTCCTCCTCCCCCTCCTCCTCCTCCTCCTCCTCCTCCTCCTCCTCCCCCTCCTCCTCCTCCTCCTCCTCCTCCTCCTCCTCCCCCTCCTCCCCCTCCCCCTCCTCCTCCTCCTCCTCCCCTCCTCCTCCTCCCCCCCTCCTCCTCCTACAGCCTACATCCTGCTCCATCCTGCTATGATGATCATCTACGACTACTACTTGATCCAAAAAGCAATGTTATAGAAGATTATTTTCAGCCATGCCACTTTACAGCTGTCTCTCTGTGTTTTTTTTTTCTGGGGTTAAGCCTCAAATCAAAAACCTGGGATAAGATTCATTTTCATCGTCAACATTTCCCCATGTTTTCCCAGTGCTTCTTTTGCACAGAGTTGTATTGGCACCTGTCCTTCTACTGAAATTCTACAACATGAACGCAGCTTCATGCACTATTTGATTCGATGCCAGTGCAGTGTTTACAGTAATATGTCAAGAGAGAAAACAGGAACCAAGTCTTCTGCTTTCCGCTCGGTTTGTCAAATAAAATCCTTCTCAGTCGTTCAGAGCAGATAAGATGTGTCTGGATGCAGCTGATGTCACTTATATATGACTTATGTGACACTGCTTTTGAAGGTTCTCTGGGTTTGAGACCACAGAGAAGGCCCTTTGCTCTGGGTTTATAGACCATAGAGAAGGCCCTGTGCTCTGGGTTTAAGATCACAGAGAAGGCCCTGTGCTCTGGGTTTATATACCATAGAGAAGGCCCTGTGCTCTGGGTTTGAGACCACAGAGAAGGCCCTGTGCTCTGGGTTTGAGACCACAGAGAAGGCCCTGTGCTCTGGGTTTGAGGCCACAGAGAAGGCCCGGTGCTCTGGGTTTGAGGCCACAGAGAAGGCCCTGTGCTCTGGGTTTAAGACCACAGAGAAGGCCCTGTGCTCTGGGTTTAAGACCACAGAGTAGGCCCTTAGCTCTAGGTTTAGTTTTGACCGATCCGAACCCTCGCCTTTACAGTTTTTTTGGCTCAGGTCTCGTTACAATGAGCAGGAAGCAGAGCGGTTTTGTGCAGAACATGTCTGGATGATTTGGAGGAGATTTACGACCAGAAACCAACACACACACACACACACACACACACACACACACACATATACACACACACACACACATACACATACACATACACATACACACACACACACACACACACACACACACACACACACACTGATTTATGGAGTGTTTACAGCACAAATCCAAGCATTTGTTTGGCCCCATTCAGAGCCACTTCCGTCTTCACACTTCGGAGAGAGAAGCAGAAATGACAGCAGCCTCCAGATACAGATCAGCTGCAGATCAACCGAGGAGGCAAAGCAACACGACCATTATTCAAGTTCGAGGTTGAAGATTGAATCTGCAGCATCAAAAACATGTTTTATTGAGATGATGGAGTGATATGGACTTGCACTAGACTAGAGGATACAGTATGTTACTTGCTTCTTAGATAAGCCAAAGATAGAGATTTTATTGATCCGTGAACGAGAAATAGCAGAAACACATCCATCCATGAAAACAAATCAATACATAATTCTAAAAGTTGCTAACAATAGTAGTAAAGTGCAACAGAAGGTGGTGCAACCGCTGGGGATGAGCTGCTTCCTCTGGTTGGTTTGGACCATTTTCTCTGCTCTGGTTCAGAGTGAAGTTCTGAATGAGCATTTCTCCAGTAGATTTATGCTTGATCTGCTTGTTTGGGACCGTGCATCCTCTCTGCTCTGGTCTGGATCCGTGTGAAAACATGAACCCAGTACTGCAGTAACATTTACAGCTGGAAAAAGCAAGAAAAATAACAATTGTAGAATGATATGAGAAAAAAACGACGCTTGTAAAACACAAAACAACAACTGTTTCAGAGCGACTGTTTCCAGTGCAGTAAATACCCGCAGTGTCAGGGGACTGGTGGCCTCGATCCTCGTTCTACAGCCTGAGTCCTGGGTCTAAAGTGTGGATCCCTCTCTCAATGTGGGTCTTCCTGAGGTTTCTCACTTACTACTACTACTTACTACTACCAGAGAGAGAGACCAGAGAAAGAGACCAGTGAGAAACCAAAGAGAGAGACCAGAGAGACCAGAGAAAGACCAGAAAGAGAGACCAGAGAGACCAGTGAGAGACCAAAGAGAGAGACCAGAGAGAGAGACCAGAGAGAGAGACCAGAGAGAGAGACCAGTGAGAGACCAAAGAGAGAGACCAGAGAGACCAGAGAAAGACCAGAAAGAGAGACCAGAGAAACCAGTGAGAGACCAAAGAGAGAGACCAGAGAGAGAGACCAGAGAGAGAGACCAGAGAGAGAGACCAGAGAGAGAGACCAGAGAGAGACCAGAGAGAGAGACCAGAGAGACCACAGACTACTACTACTACTTTTTCCCACTGTTTTTATTTTTACGTTTCTCTTTGCTGATACAGGAAGGTCTAAGGCATAGGTGTCAAAGTCAAGACCATTTTTAGTGGCCCCTAAAATATTTTTTTATTTTTAGGAACTTGTGAGTTTAGGAATAGACTCATTTATTTAATCAGGAAACCATCCAAATGTAATGTATTCTTAACATTTTAACCCAATAACACATAATTAAGAGTTAAATAGTTCAATATAAAGTGTTTTTACTTTATAATTGATCCAGTTTTGGTTCAGTCTAAACAATAAACCCATTTTGTTTTCAGAAAAAGACAGTGAAACTCATGACACATAAAAGTCACTGTTAAACCTTCATAATGTAAAAAACAAAGATAAGAAAAGAAAATGTCTTCATTGTTTTCGGGCCCCGACCAGTTCCTATTTTTTAAAATCGGCCCTTGACCAAAATGACTTACCTTGTCTAAGGACACTCCACATTCAACAACATTTACGCACTTTATCGACATATATAGACATTGCTCTCTGCTTTATGGACCAATGTGTTTTTTATCAAAGCATTTCTTGTGTTTGAACGGTTTGATTCTCTGATATGTGTTGGCGAATTCAACAAGTTTGACTATACAAGATCAGGTTTATGGACTCATGGATCACAGCAACCAAAAAAAAAATACCACGCAGCCTTTGCACAATCCTCATCTGAAGTGTTTTCTCCAGACTTTCACAACATCCATCTCTCTCTTTCTCTCACGTCCTGAACAATAGCAGCAGCGGTTTGCGGACCCTCAAGTCTTCACTAAATCATCACCGAGAGAGAGAGCATTGTTTCGTGGGGAGTTGAGATTGAAGTCAGGAGTCTGCGGTTAAACGGTGACTGATGGGATGGAGAGGGTGAGGGGGTGAGGAGGAGGGGGGGGGGGGAGGCGAGGGTCTGTGGTGGGTTGGAGGAACCGCTGGGGGGATAAGATAGAGCCATGTGGTTAGGGCTGCGAAGGATGAGGAGAGCCGGGCCGTCCGTTTAGCCGCAGAAAGTTTTTTACGACTACTGGACAGGATTCGGTCTGTGATTTTTATCTACGGTCTATTCACAGGATATTTAAAGCTGGGGTACCTAAGTTTACCAAGAGACGGAAGAGAGCTGTGTCGATCAGTCCATGCCGTCTTCATCTGTTTGTATGAACGAGCAGTAGAAGATATCATTGGCTAAGATGCTAACAGCTCGATATGCTAATAGCTTCTTCCCATCAGTCTGAACAAAGCACTTTAATGATTTTGCACTTGTACTGAAGCTGAGAGACCGAAGAGAGACCAGAGAGAGACCGGAGAGAGACCAGAGAGAGACCGGAGAGAGACCGGAGAGAGACCAGAGAGAGACCAGAGAGAGACCGGAGAGAGACCAGAGAGAGACCAGAGAGAGACCGGAGAGAGACCGGAGAGAGACCGGAGAGAGACCAGAGAGAGACCGGAGAGAGACCAGAGAGAGACCGGAGAGAGACCGGAGAGAGACCAGAGAGAGACCGGAGAGAGACCGGAGAGAGACCGGAGAGAGACCGGAGAGAGACCGGAGAGAGACCAGAGAGAGACCAGAGAGAGACCAGAGAGAGACCAGAGAGAGACCAGAGAGAGACCAGAGAGAGACCAGAGAGAGACCAGAGAGAGACCAGAGAAAGACCGGAGAGAGAGCGGAGAGAGACCAGAGAGAGACTAGAGAGAGACCGAAGAGAGACCAGAGAGAGACCAGAGAGAGACCAGAGCGAGACCAGAGAGAGACTAGAGAGAGACCGAAGAGAGACCAGAGAGAGACCAGAGAGAGACCAGAGAAAGACTGGAAAAAGACCAGAGAGAGACCAGAGAAAGACTGGAAAAAGACCAGAGAAAGACCAGAGAAAGACCAGAGAGAGACCAGAGAGAGACCGGAGAAAGACTGGAGAGAGACCAGACAGAGACCAGAAACTTGATCAGGGCTCTTCCTCAAACACACAGATTTAAATGTGCAATTCATTAAAAAAATAATAATAATAACCTTTTTAACTTGTGTTCGTCTCTACACAACAGTATAAGACTGTTAAGATTTTATTGTGGTTGGAAAATTATGAATCCCTGTTTGAAGTTGTGTGTTTTGTTTGTGTGAAGGTGTTTATACTGTATGTGTATATGTGTGTATATACGTGTACCTGTAGTACACTGGGATACTCTTGCACAGGTATTCCGATGTGGTTTCACTGCAAATCCATCTGAAATCTGAAATCCGGACCCAACATATTCATGTAAAAACTGTATTTAACATGAACCATCTTTTACAAACGGTTTATTTATGTTTAGTTTGTGTCTTGCGTTGATTTTTATTTTTTTTAATTTTTTTAGCATACAAATAAAAAAATAAAAATCATTACAAGTAGCATCCAAAGAAGCGCCATATAAAAACTGCCCATGACTTTTTTTGTGCATATTATTATTATTATTAATCTTTATTAAGGACACAATACAACACGGTCCATAGTTAAAAAACCAAAGAAAAAATATATACAAGAAAACAAACCAAAGAGAGCATTACAGCTGCTGAACAGTATAAAGGCATAACCTCCAGTAAGTCCATAATTTGGAGGTGAACAGCAGTGAGCAGAACTCGGGGCTGACGAGAGTCTTAACAATCACATTAATAGAGTTCCTCAGACGACACATAAATCTGAACTGAACATTTCGAAGAGATGCAGAACAAGATCGAACACCACAGTAAGCAAACATCTCACTTGCGCTGCTGTGCCGAGGAACCTTCAGCAGCAGC